ATGAATTTGAAAGACAGCAAGGAGGGAGAAATGATGTGATTATATCATAATCTCAAAGTAAAAAATACTATAAAAAAATCACAGTACTTAGTAGTTTGTAGAACATAGGCCAGATGACTTAATATTATAACTTGCTGTAAAATTAATGCTAGGGAACATTTTCTGACATTTAAAAAAGTTGTTCAGTGTGTAAAGGCGTTTTGCCTACCCGTGCATCTACGCACTGTGAGATGCAGTGCTTCCAGAGGCCAGAAGAGGACGTCAGATCTCCTGTGGGGCTGGCGGTACAGATGATTGGAGCCTACTTGTGGGTACCAGGGATTAAACCAGGTCTTCAGGAAGAGCAGCCAATGTTCTTAACCACTGAGTCATCTCTCTAGCCCCGTGACATTCTTTGATTTGTTTTGTTTGTTTGTTTGTTTGTTTGTTTGTTTGTTTTTTCAAGAATTAACCAAACACTTGGGAGGTAGAGGCAGGCAAAGCTGTGTTTGAGACCAGCCTGTTCTACAGAGTGAGTTCCAGGATGGCCAGGGCTAAATTCAAGACCCTCTCTAAATATAAATAAGTAAAAGTTCATCTGTGAGGAGTTATAGGCGTGTTCACAGCAGTCAGAAGGGAGAGCAAGGCAAGCCCCCTTCAGTGGGTGAGAGGGCGAACAAAATGTGACACTTGCATAGATGATTAACTAGCTTTTTGGAAGAAGGAAATTGTAAGCCACACCATGACACAGTTGAACCTCAGGGATATTATACCAATCACAAAAAGATAACCACTATATTAATCTACATAAAGGGGTAGCTGGAGCAGTCGGATTCACAGAAGAAGAATGTAGGGTGGTCGTGAGGAGTTGGGAGGAAGGAAGGTGTTATTTAATGAACACAGAGTTTTGACTTTGTAAGATGAGAACATACAGTAGCTGGTATGTAACAAAATAAAAATGGTCAACAATGCTGAACTATATGATTAAAACCTGTCCGTCTAGAGGTTGGAGTGTCACTCTGTGGTAGACAGCACACTTGCCTGCCTTTGTGATACCCTGTTAATCCTCAGCACACCCAAAAATAGAATGGAAGAGCAGGGCACAGCAGTGCACGCCTGTAATCCCAGCACTCAGGGAGGCAGAGGCAGAGGCAGGCTGATCTCTGAGTTCAAGGCCACCCTGGTTTACAAAGTGAGTCCAGGACAGTCAAAGCTACACAGAGAAACCCTGTTTTGAAAAAAACAAAAAATAAATAAAAATAGAATTGAAAGTAGTTGCTTCTATATAATAATTTTTTTTTTTGGAACAATAATAAATAACAATCACTGAGCAGTGGTGGTGCACGCCTTCAATCCCAGTACTTGGGAGGCAGAGGGAGGCAGATCTTTGAGTTTGAGGCCAGCCTGGTCTACAGAGTGAGTTCCCAGACCAGCCAGGGCAACACAGAGAAACCATGTCTTGACATTTTAATTAATTAATCAACTAGAGTTAATTAATCAATTAATTAATTAATTGAGAGTTTTGACCTCTATCTAGGCACTTGGCCTATGCCTGTGGCCCTACACACTTATAAGGCTGGGGCAGGAGGAATGTCTGAGCTTAGGAATTTGAAGCCAGTCTAGGAAAGCATAACAAGGTGCCTCTAAAGAAAATCCCAGTTTAGGGCTGGAGAGATAGCTCAGCAGTTGAGAGCTGCTTTTCTAAAAAACTACTTGTTTGATTCCCAGAACCCACCTGGAGGCTCACAGCCATCTACAGCTCCAGTTCCAGGGAGTCTGAGGAGGACCTCCCCTATCAGTAGACTTGGGGAGGGGCATGGGGGAAGAAAGAGAGTGGATGGGACTGGGAAGAGACCAGGGAGCAGAGATACAAAGTGAATAAATTGTAATAATATATATATATATATATAAATTTTTAAATAATAAAACTTAAAAAAATAAAAGTTTTACCTCTCACCAACTCTACCCAATAGGATCTGACATTATCCCCCATTTTAACCCTTAATATATATTTATTGAGTTAACTCAGAAATTAAACTTCCCTCCTCTTTCCCTTTGTGTTGCTGACCAGAATGTGAGACGAGTTTGAGAAACTTGGTAAAGCTGTTACACACAAACTGCAGCATCCAGACCCAGAATAGGGGACATCTAGAAATACTGTCACTGAGGAAAGCCAGAAGCAGTTTTAGAAGCCAAAGTCTGTGTTTATCTACAACAGATTACAGACCCCCTCCACCCTCCACCCCTGTGCTGCAGTGGTTTTGGTTGTTGTTTGCTTGGTTTTGGAAAGGACCTTTGTTTGATTTGGTTGGTTTTTGTTTTTGGAGATGAGGTCTTTGTAGCCCTTGATAGCCTGCAACTTCCTATGTAGACCAGGCTGGCTTTGAACTTACAGAGATCTGTCTGCCTCTGCCTCCCAAGTGCTGGAATTAAAGGCATGGGCCACCACTGGCTTCGAGGGTTTAAATGCTATGAGAAATGTCAGAACATGAATATTATGGTTCCTGCCTAATTGTCAATGTTTTGTTGTTGTTGTTGTTGTTGTTGTTTTTTCTGTTTTTGCTTTGGGACAGAATCTTAAACTTAAATCATTCAGTCTCAGCCTTCCAATTACTAAGATGCCTGGCAATTTAATTGCTCTATTTAACCCACCTTTCCCACTATTAAAGAATGCAGGTGTGCTGGAGAGCTGGCCCAGCAGGTCAGAGCACTCAGTGCTCTTCCAGAGAACCCAAATTGAGGGCCCTAACCCACCTCAGGTAGTTCTCAGTTGCCTGTAACTCCAGTTCCAGTGGGGGCGGGGGATCCCATACCTCTGGCCTCTGGGGGCATCAGCACGCATACAGACACATGAGATTTGGGGGTTCTTTTTTTCCTCTATTTCTAGACTTAAATTAATGAAATGGTTTTTAATTAATCTTCAATCAAGGGACCTGGGTAAAATGTTTCACTTAAACAAGTTTCAACACACTAAAGGAAATATACCAATATATAATTTGAAGCCAAAAAAAGAAAATTTAAAAAGTCCCCATCTCTAAAGTCTCAATAGGTTCAAATCGTGGCTCTGTAATTCATTTCCCCATGTGCTGCTGGGTACCTAGGGACTACCACTGAACACATTTGCTCTAACCCTGGGAGGAGCCCACACCCTCTCCCTGATCCCAGGCCTGAGCAGCGAGTGAGGTCACAGCTGTGTGATGGAACAAAAACCCTTTGTTGGATTCTTGCTCTGAAGTTCAGATGGTTGGTTACTAACGGCTGATTAGTAGCACAGCTTAAAAGTAGGTAAATATCAGAATTTTATATGATTCTATGCTGAGTTCTTTTTTTAAAAAACAAAAAAAACAAAAAAAAACTATCAACTAGATAAGAGATTGAAGGTATTTTAAGTACTGGTTGTTTTGAGCCATGGGGACAATTTCAGAGCACCTTTCAACTGCCTAAATTATTGAGCGTCTCTGGGATTCCCAGCTTTACGGAAGGTTCTAGATTCTGAACACTGTGATGGAGGTATTTGGAAACAGCTGCTTTCCAGGTTCTGAGGCAAAGACCTGGGGGGGATGATTTCTTGCCAAACATCCTGAAACTTCTTTTCCTCCTGGCTTAACAGTGCTTGCTGATTTATTATTTCTGAGCCGGCAGCTGAGTCTGCTTGCCAGTGAGCCTCCCCATACACTCTGTAATGTGGAGGACTAACTGGGGTGCTAAACCCAGAGGGGCAGCCTGCCTCCTAGGCTCTGGGCTCCATCTGGGCTTCTCGCACTATGCAGAAGCGGAAAGGGCGTTTAACGACCAGGGAAGCCATAGCAAAGAGTCTGCGCAAGAGGCTACCCACTCTGCTTTTATGAGAGAGTAGGGGCTCATAAGAACTGCCAGGGCAGGGGTGTATGTTCCAGAAGGAGATCCTCAGAAAATTTACTTACTATATGGTAGGTGTCTAAGTAAGCAAATATTTTTGGAATGTCCTAACACCTTTTTGCCTAATGTGACATTAAATATTTCAAAATAAATTTTGTCTTTAATTTTTCCAATCTATTTCTATATGCTTTGTCTGTATCATGCTATTTTTAGTTAGTTAAGGCATACAATTTGATGGTTTGCTGTGTGTATACACTGTAAAATAATCACTGCAATCCACCCAACACACCAGTCACCTGCCCAAGTTACTGCAGGTCAAGGCATCTAGGTAAACACACTGTAGAGTGATGCTGCCTTGCCCTACCATTACACATTAGATCTTTACAAGTTACTCATAATGAATAACTGAGGGTTTGTGCTCCTCACCAACTTCTCATGACCCCCCTTCCTACCATGCTGTACTTTTCTGTAGGTTTGTCTATTCTGGATTCTACATGCAAGTGAAAAAAAAAAAAAATCTTTGTGTGCCTGGCTTCTTTTACTTAGCATTTATTTAGGTTTTTTGTTTTGTTTTTGTTTTTGTTTTTTTTAAGACATGCGTGCAGGTGCCTATGGAGGCCAGAAGAGGACATGGATCAATCCTTGGGGCTGGACTGTACAGGCTGTGTGAACAGCCATGTGGGTGCTTGGAAACCGGGTCTCTGTAAGAGCAGTAAGAGCTCTGGACCACTGAGCCATCTCTTCAGCCCCAGCATTTATTTTTATATAAGATCAGATTGACACTATTTGAAAAGTATAACTGTGACAAGAAATTTTGCTTGGAGATCTTGGCACAGTAAAAGGACCTTTCCACACAGCCCTCCAATTTTGCTTATACTTCTAGCTTGAATTTGCATATGATGCCATTTTTTGAAATCCTATACCTTGAGCTGGAAAACCTGGGAGGGGGGTGATGCAAAGAAATGAATGTATAAAAAGGAAGAAAGAAAGAAAGGAAAGAAAAGAAAGAGAGAGAGAGAGAGAAAGAGAGAAAAAGAATGAAAGAAAGGAAAGAAAGAAGAAAGAAAAGGAATAAATGGATGGATAGATGGATGGATGGGTAGAGGGATGAATGAATCTGTGAACTGATCCTTTATTGCATCTTCTGAACTCCAGACAAAGTTTCTGACCACATGGCAGTTTCGGAAATGAAACCAACAACGAAACTGAAGCCCCTAAAAGCACCTGTCTTTTACAAGAGGTAAGAAATAAAGTATGAACAGATTATACAAAGAAGTGTTCAGATAATTAATTTATAAATGTACACTACAAAGACTACGATGAGACAAGTTAGAATATTCTGTTTTGGAGTAAATTTACTTAAAACATCTGCATTAAAGAGTTTGCCATATTTTGTTTATTTTTGTATGTGTGCCCACATGCAGGCACCACGGCACCCTTGTGGAGGTCAGAGGAGCTTATAGAAGCCTGTTCTCCCCTTTTACTCTGTGGTTCTCCAGGAATCAAACTCAGATCCTCAGGCTTGGTAGCAAGCACCTTCCCACTGAGGCATTTCATTGTCTTTTGGAAAGATAATGAAAAGAAAAAAATGAACATCCCTTTTGACTAGAAAAACAGAATTCCCCTTCCCATTCTCCCAAATTAAATCCAGGTATACTAGCTGTGCACGCCCCACCACAGTGCACAAGGGCAATTCACCCATTAGCAGCAACACTTTTTCTCAACTGGCTGCCAACAAACTCTAAGCACTGAGGGCTGAAGTGAGAGCCAAGATGTAGTCATCACACTCTGCTCTCCCCTGAAGGCCCACCCTCTTTACCACTTGGAGAGTGACTCAGCTTTACCACTGCTAAATATGTTTCTGGCGTCTTTGCTTCATTTTGTTTGAAACAGGGTTTCTTCTGTGTAGCCCTGACTGTCCTGGAACTCACTCTGTGGACCAGGCTAGTATCAAACTCTGAGATCCACCTGTCTCTGCCTCCCAAATGCTGGGATTACAGGGGTGTGCCACTGTGCCCAGCTATTTCTGACATTTTTAAAAGAAAGAAGTAGAAAAATAACTTCATGGCAGCCAAGCCCGTTGACACTGTCCCCTTTCGAAACAGTGGGCTCTTTGTCAATGAAAATAGTCCAACAAAGACCAAGACAACAGGCCAAAGGGATCCCCACAGTAGGTGAGAGGTTGGAGTGGGCTGGTTTCATATAGGAAGTCCCATGCTCCTTTGCAACATTATAAAATGGACATTCTCCTGGTTTAGTCCACAGTGAAGTTTGAAATGAACATGGGTGTTTTCTTGTTATTGATGAGGGTTTTTTGTTTTTTTTGTTTTTTTTTTTTTTTGGTTTGAGTTTTGTTTGGTTGTTTGGTTGGTTTTTGGTTTTTTGAGACAGGGTCTCTCTGTGTAGCCTTGGCTGTCCTGGACTCACTTTGTAGGCCAGGCTGGCCTCAAACTGACAGAGATCTGCCTGCCTCTGCCTCTCCAAGTGCTGGGATTAAAGGTGTGCACCAGCACAACTGGCTCCACAGATGTTTTTATTTGTGGTAATTAACAAAAATCTTTGTCCACCTGGCCTTCTGCTTTCTTAGGGTTTTGAGTACATTATATTTCTGTGTCTGCTTACATCTTTCATATAGTGCAAAAATAAACTATTTTTATTTGGAAATGTGCAACAAATACATAGTAACCTCAGTGAGTGAAAACCTGAGTCTGCAGAAGGACACGTTAGGTAATAAAGAGGCAACACAAAAAGAAGACATCGTGTTAGTAAACGCTGAGAAAACAAAACAGGCTAGATGCAGTTTCGTGCCAAAAAGTTGAAAACCGCGCATCTTAGGACCTCGTCACTTCCTTCTATCCCAAGCTACTCTGAAAATAAGTTGAATCGAATACTCTATAGAGGGTAGTAAAATAGACCACAGTGAGTATATTGTTTAACCACAATATTTAGTATTCCTTCAAGTGTCACTTTATCACGTACTTCTTGTAAAACCACAAAAGCTGGGGCTGGAGAGATGGCTCAGCAGTTAAGAGCACTTGTTGCACTTCCGGAGGACCCGGGTTCAACTGCCAGCACCCACATGGCGGCTCACAGCCATCTGTAACTCCAGCCCCAGGAGATCTGATGTCCCTTCTGACCTCCTGGGTACCAGGCGTGCACACTGTACACACACAGACATGCAGGCAAGACACGCATATGCACAGAATTACAAAATAAAACTTCCTAAATGTTTTAATAAAAAAATACAACCACAAAAATTAGAGCTTCTATGTTTTTAAACTTTTGTTATTAGAATCTAAGGACATTTCAAACAAATTTATAAGAGCGAGGTATAGTGGCAGAGGCCTATAAGCCTGGCATTCGGGAAGATGGAGGCAGGAGAGCAGGAGCTTAAAATCATTCTTGGCTCCCTGGTGCATTTGGCTTATCCCAGGCTACATGGAATCCTGCTTCTAAAACCTTTTTGATTATTTAAATAAATTTGCTATTAAGTAACAATTAAAAGAATTAAATTTCACTTGCCATATTATAAGCAAAGCTTATAGTTTTGTTTGGGGGGGGGTGTTCATAAATCATTGCAAATTTACACAAAGCATCCTGGAAGTATTAATATTTTCCCTCCTATCCCAGACTTTGCCTTCATGAGGGCATAATGTTACCCAGAGTTCTAACTTCCCAGAAATGTAGGGCAGGCTGCAGTTGTTCTCATCTTCCCATGCTGTCGGCAGATATTAGCAAGTGGTAGGTCTGCTTACGTTCTGTGACTCCCTGCACACTGCAATGCTGTCGCCATTGTGGCCAGCAAACTCAAAGATTCCACACCTGGGTTACATCTGCCCATGTCTCTTCTCAGAGATAAAGATTTACAAGGACGTCTTCCAGGCTATTTACAGCACAGAGAATGGAAGCTGAGCCCTGCACAACTAGAAGGTAATGAAAACCATCCTAAACATTAAAACCTAACAGCATCCCTCCATGCATCTGTGGACTTCTGTATCATTCATTTCTGAGACTGTATCTTATAGCTAAAGATGGCCTAGAACTCACTGTGTAGCTCTAGCTGGTCTAGAACCCATAGCAGTCCTGTCTCAGCCTCCCAAGTACTAGAATTGAAGGCAGGTGCCAATTGCATTCAGCTAGCTCATCCTCTCGTGCAAACACGAGATTTCAAGGAGTATCTATATTATCCTATCATTTAAGAGAGGGGAAGAAATATCCTATCATGTAAGGAGGGGAGAAATAAACTTTTTAATAATTTTATTTTATATGCATGGTATGAGAGTGTCAGATCCCCTGGAACAGAAGTTACAGACAGGTGTTAGCTTCCATGTGGGTATGGGAATTAAATCTGGGTCCTCTGGAAGATCAGCCAGTGCTTTTAATTGCTGAGCCATCTCTTCAGCACAGAAATAAATTTTTAGCCAGGTATGATGGCACACCTATAACTCAGGAAGCCAATGCTTAGTTCAAAGCCAGCCTGGCCTATATATCAAGAGCCTATCTAAAATTAACAAAATTAACTATTTGCTAGATTGAAGGAGGATTACTTTCAAATTGACATCTCTTAAGAATGTAATCAGTTGATTTCCAAAGTGATTGTGCAAGGTTACATTCCCACTAGCAGTGGAGGAGGGTTCCCCTTTCTCCACATTCTCTCCAGCATGTGTTGTCACTTGAGTTTTTGATCTTAGCCATTATGATGGGTGTAAGGTGAAATCTCAGGGTTGTTTTGATTTGCATCTCCCTGATGACTAAGGATGTTGAACATTTCTTTTAAGTGTTTCTCTGCCATTTGATATTCCTCTATTGAGAATTCTCTGTTTAGCTCTGTACCTCATTTTCCAATTAGATTACTTGATTTGTTGATGTTTAACTTTTGAGTTCTTTATATATTCTAAATATTAGCCCTCTGTCAGATATAGGGTTGGGGAAGATCCTTTCCCAGTCCGTAGGCTGTCGTTTTGTTCTGATGACAATGTCCTTTGCTTTACAGAAGCTTTTCAGTTTCATGAGGTCCCATTTATTGATTGTTGACCTTAGAGCCTGAGCTGTTGGTGCTCTGTTCAGGAAGTTGTCTCCTGTGCCAATAAGTTCAAGGCTCTTCCCCACTTTTTCTTCTAACAGGTTTAGTGTGTCTGGTTTTATGTTGAGGCCTTTGATCCACATGGACTTTAGTTTTGTGCAGGGTGATAAATATGGATCTATCTGCATTTTTCTACATGTAGATATCCAGTTAGACCAGCACCATTTCTTGAAGATGCAGCTAGTCCTGATGAGACCTGATAGGCTAGGGTCAGGTGGAAGGGGAAGAGGACCTCTCCTATCAATGGACTGAGGGAGGGGCATGGTTGAAGAGGGAGGAAGGGTGGAATTGGGAAGGAACAAGAGAGGAAGGGCTACAAGTGGGATACAAAGTGAATAAATTGTAATAATAAAAAAATAAATTAAAAATTATATAAAAAAATAAAAAATCAGTCAGCCAGGCCAGGCTGTGGTGGTGTATGCCTTTGGTCCCAGCATTCAGGAGGCAGAGTCAGCAGGATCTTTGTGAATTCGAGGCCAGCCTGGTCTACAGAGTGAGTTCCAGGAGAGCCAGGGCTACACAGAGAAACCCTGTCTGGAAAAAAACAAAAGAAATGAAATAGTCTTGGTCAAATATTCTTATCCAGATAGCTTGTAAGGGTGGTAAACAGCAAATCCAAGCTCACGTATTAATCAGCTAATTAAACAGTATAAACACAAAGTGTGGCCTGGCCAGCGTGGCAACATGCATCTGTAACATCAGCATGAGGGAGCCAGAGGCGAGAGGAGCACCGTAAGTTTGAGGGCAGCCTGGTCTACATAATGCTTGACAAAAATAAAATAAAGTGCCAGGATTTCTGGCACGGTGTTTGAAACAAACAAAATGATCATGATGAAAACTGATACACTGTCTACATGTCATTGGTCCAAGTAGCAAACATCTGTTTAAGCCAATAGTGTTCCAGGCAGAAGAATGATAGACATGTTCCTGCTCTGGAAAGAGATCTACAAGGAAAATACATAGTTAAACCACACAATTATTGAGTTGTTTATGCTAAATTATAAAATGACCTGAGATACGAGGGAAGTATAAAATGTTATAGGACCAGAACAGAGTGTCCTGACTTGGTCTTATGGGGCAAGAAAGGGAGTATAGAGAAAACTGAATGATGAGTCAGGGGAGAATGCAGGAGTGTGTTCCAGGGAGAAAGAACAGAATCTACCAAAAAAAAAAAAAAAAAAAGAAAGAAAGGAAAAGCATTATGTGCTAGAAAACCTCATGGAGCTAAAAAGATGGCCCAGGGGACGGGAGCATCTGCTGTACCTTCGGGCCTGGACTCAGATCCCCGCACCCCCAGCTCAGGGCTGAGGGAGCCAGGAGGTTTGCTGGAGCTTGCTGGATGCCAGGCTAGCTCCAGGTTCCATGGCAGCCCCTGTCTCAAAGGGTAAGGTGGGACGAGCTAGAGCAGGATGCCTGCCATCCATGATTAGAGGTGAGCGTGCCCATACACACACATGTGCATTCACCGCACATACAGATGCCCCACACTCACATACCAAAAAGAAGAGAGGGAAGAGGAAAAGGAGAGAGAGGAGAAGAGCTGACAGAGCACCTTTACCTGCTGATGACCTGAACTCTATCCCCAGATCCCACACAGTGGAAGAGAACTGACTCCTGCAAATGTCTTCTCACCTCCATGTTCATGCAGTGTCACATACGTACATGCACACACACATACCTACATAATACACACACATATACATACATACACAGATATACACATACATACATACATATTCATATTCTGTCTCCTATCATACTCATAACCCAGTTATTTACAATTTGGGGGAACTAACAAGGCCTGTGAGGAACAGTCCCTGTAGGATCAATAAGGATGCAGATATCAAAGCGTCAAAAACGACACTAGAAAATGTGGTAATTGTAGCATTCTCACAGCTTTCCTATGAGGAGTTAATTTATTCGTTCTGTATGATTTGTTGCAACCCTCAGCCTCCAACATCTCCTGTCTGTGCTCCCAAATAACTTTGCTTCCTACTTCCCTGCACAGAATTGAATGGAATTCCCAAAGTGTATCTCCCCGAGTCCACACCTCACCCTTTGTGTGCATTTGCGTATGTGTGCATTTGCGTGTATGTGCGGTGCGCGTGCTGGGGAGCATGCCCTCCTCCACCTTCTTCCTTTGAGGCAGGGTCTCTCACTGAACACAGACTCGCGTTTTTCAGAGGCTGTCTAACAAACACCAGCCGTCCCGCCGTCCCTGCTCCTGCCTAATAGGTGGCCACAGCCGGCCTTTATGTGGGTGCTCGGGTCCTTAGCTTGTACAGAAAGTGCTCTCCTTCACTGAGCCATCTCCCCATCCCCTATCTTCCACTACTTTTTTGAATAATTTAAAAATCATATGTTTATCCTAATGTAAAATAGACATCTATGAGTCTATACTGATAGAAACAAAGAAGCTAGGAATGCAGGTCAGTGGTAGAGCAGCTGCCTAGCATATATTAGGCCCTAGGTTCAATCTCCAATATTGGAAAAAGAATGAAAACTAAGAATAATTAAATATTTCACACAAGTGGAGACAAATGTCCAAGTAATGGCAATAAAGTGAGAAAACAGATAATACAAATTTTTGCTTTGCTTTGTTTTCTTGATATGCAGGATCTGATGTAGCCTAGTCTGGCCTCAAGCTCACTACGTAGTAAAGGCTGGCCTTGAACACCTAATCTTCCTGCCTCTACCCTCAAGTGCTTAGATTATAGGCATGCACCACCTTGCCTGACTCCACATTTAGTTTTTCTACCAATTACTTCTTGTTCTACTTGAGTCTATAATTTCTACTTTATTCTAATTCAAATCCCAAGAAAAGACTGCATCTGTCTTTTTAAAAAAATCTATTATTCATTCTCTCCATATTTTTTCAGAACACAATCTTCAATTGAATATTTGATCTCTCCCAGCCCTATTAGCATATGCATTTCTCCCCTCCCCAATCCCCATTTTGAGACAGTCACACTCCGTAGCCCAGGCTGACCTAGACATTACTGGTTAGACCCAGTGGGCCTCAGATCATCAGATAATCTTCCGAGTGCTAGGGTTGTAGACATGAGCTACCATACCTGACTGTGTTTCTTCTTAAATAACTGTCATGACTAACATAATTCCATTTCCTCAGCCTTCCGTAATGCTTACAACTTCTTCACCAAGGATAAAAGTGGCTGCATTGATTCACACGGATTGATGTGCACCTTAGCTAAACTGGGGATGAATCTAAGCATGTATGATATCTATAATGAATTGAAATGTGCTGATCTTGACAGTGAGTATTTTGACCTATTTTCCCATAAAATATTTTTATGAATATCTCTATTTTATCATTTGTATCTTATAAGTACAAGAAATAACTCTCCCGTATTTGTCAAAAGTATATCACTGAACATTAGGGCTGTCTCCTTTGATCTATATTTCACTTCCCATGGTTTCAATTAACTGGGTCACCTGTGGCCCAAAATTACTAGTATTTGTCTAAACTCTTTCAAAAAACACAGTAATACAATGTTCTATAATATTATATTGTTGAAACTGGACGTGATGCCGCACACCTTTAATCCCAGCACTCAGGTGGCAGAGGCTATATAGAGGACCCTGTCTCAAAAAACACACACACACACACAAACATACAGTGTATTTTTATAATCATTTTGTTATTGTTGCTGCTAATCTCTCACTATACCTAATTTATCAGATAAAGTATGTCACAGAAAAAAAAAAAACATAGTAGATACAGGGATCAGTACTGTGGGGTTTGTAGGAGGTTTAGTGTTTGGTTTTGGTTGGTTTAGGGATTGAGATTTGTTTGTTTGCTGAAACAGGTTCTCATTCTGTGGCCCAGGCTGTCCTGAAATCTAATATGTAACTGACAGCCTGTTGTCCTGCCAAAGGCTAGGATTGTTTAGCATGAGCCACCACACATCTAGCCAAGGTTTTAATGCTTGGGGGTCTTGAAATAGAACTTCTGTATTCCCCATTGGGAACTACTGTCTTCATGTATGTTTCTCTTTATAGCAAGGGGGAGGGTATATGAGCTAAACAAAACTTCGTGAGAAAATTCATGTGTGGAAAGCAAGAGTGGCTATCTCTACTTATTGCCAAATTTAAGTATTTGCTATGATGCTCATTTTGGAGGACACCTTGAAGGAACTGAGAGATACAACTACATAAGCAGCTTCACAAACAGCAGAACACCAAGAAAACCTAATCCCACTGCTTCATTTCAACAGTAACAATACAAATCTCCTTTCTGTCAAATTTTAAATGCCAGAGAAATTTTATTAGTTAGTATTTTAAAGCCTATATGTCATGGAATTTGTTTGTTTTCCTGTTTGGGTGGGGGAGCTTTTTATTGTTAGTATTTGTTTTTTTGTCTTGTTTGAAGCAGGGTCTTAATACATCCCAGGATTTCCTCTGACCAGTCGAGGTCCGCTGTGAACCGCTGACACTTTCCTCTGCCTCTCTAGTGCTATGGCATGTACCTGGAGTCCAGGCTAATGTATTATGTGGAATATGTTTTCAGCATATTATTTCTTCTTGCTCCTCATCACCCAACTGCCAGTGAATCGAGGTCACCAGATAACTAAAGCTATGGCTTGTTTCCACTAATGCTGCCAGTTTGCTTTTTTTGTTTTGTTTTGCTTTATTTTTCAAGACAGGGTTTCTCTGCGTAGCCCTGGCTGTCCTGGAGCTTGCTTTGTATGCCAGGCTGGCCTAAAACTCAGAGATCCACCTGCCTCTGCCACCCAAGTGCTGAAATTAAAGGCGTGCATCACCACCACCCAGCAACTGTCTTTTAATTTTAGAGGCAATAGGGTGCCAGAGAGGAACATGTGAAGAATTACAGTCTCTGCCAAAAGATAATAGTGGCTAACAGCTTTTGCTGAATGCTTACACCTTGCCATCGCTTCTGTTGGCTGCAGGGGACTGTGTGCTTGTTGTAAGGTCAAGTCATGAAGACTGATATACTTAAGAAGATTATAAATTCAAGACCAGCATGGCTACATAGGGAGGCACTACCAAAATAATCTCTTTAAGGAGGACAGAAAGGAAACCAAGTTTACCTGAGCACCTTTTCAGCTGCAAATATGCTGATTTTAAGTATTAGGTGGCTCAGGGTACTTCAGCTTTTATACTTAGAATACATTAAACAGTTAAAATGCATTCTAGCTCAGCATCACAAGAGGCTGAGGCAGAAGAATTGCAAATTTGCAGCGAGTCTAAGCTATATATAACAAGCACTCTCTCTCACTCTCTCTCTCCTTTTCTCTCTCTCTTGGTTTTATATATGAGTCATGTATTTAATATATTATATGAATGTTTAGAGAATTCTTGTTCTGAGCTCAGATTCCTGTTGCAGGGGATGGTAAGATCAACTTCTCAGATTTTATAAAGGTGCTGACAGATAAAAAACTCTTCATCAAGGCTGTGGGTGAGTAGAATCACTTAGAAGATGGTTGGGCAGCTCTTCCCACTGCACAGAAAACACTATTAGCCCTCCAGTCAGACAAATCCAGAAAGATGCGATTTTTCTTTGCACTACTCCCACAAAATAATATCAAACTGAGAGTATCAGAATACACCAGACAGCCAAATCCTGCAGGGACACTGTCTTGTCTCCAGTGAGAACATAAGGAAGTAACAGATGCAGAAACTTTAGTTTTCCTCTTTTTTTAATTTTAAAATCCATCTCTATGTGCAAGGGTACCACGCCTCGTATGTCTGTGTCAGATCACCTGGAACTGGAAGCACAGATGGTTATTGGTGTACATGGGCACGGGGATGGAACCCAGGTCCTCTGGAAGAATAGTCAGTGCCCTTAGCCACTGAGCCATCTGTTCAGCCCCTTGTTTTCCTTTTATAGTGTTTCAATTCTTAACCAAGCACAGGCACTACTTCTAAAAGCATTCCTTTTATACCAAAAAATAAATAAATAACAACTATTTCTATCACTTAGAGAATTTACCGTTTCCACACACTGAGGGGGCCTCTTCCCTCAGTGAGAGGCTGGGAGGTTAGAGAGCACATTCTCACCTGTGGTGATCCGTGCTATGCACACCAAAACTCACCAATCTCTCATGCTGTGTCTGAACTTACCAGGCTGCCTTGGAAAATCTAACCACTACTCATATTAATGTTCTCTAGGATTCCAGATACCAAACCCCATCTGTGGTTTTGAAGGCATAGCCATTTAATTTAAGCCATAGACTGTCCCCAAGATAAAGAAAAATCAGTGCTAGCAAACATCGTAGCAGTAATGAGCATTTCTCTGCAAACTAGAGATATTAAGTCCCTTTCATAGAAGAACAAGACAATTGTCTCCAACATATTTTGCATGTAGATGCTAAAGTTCTGCTGTATTTACTTAGGAGTCATTGAACTATGATTGGTCTGTCTACTCCATAATCAAAATGACCTTTCTACCAAATAAAACAGTTTTAATGTTTTACCATTTTGCTAGTCTCTGGTTTCATATATAAGATTATATATTGTAAATTATAAACTTTATAATTTTATAATCATGCTCTAAATTCTCAATAAATTTTTAACAGATGGCTTGCTCAGAAGACATTTTGAGATCTCTCTCTCTCTCTCTCTCTCTCTCTCTCTCTCTCTCTCTCCTGTTTCCTCTACAGTTCCAGAAAAGAAAACGTGTTTAGATCTCGCTAATAACCCAGGGATCTTACTGTTTGAAATCCTGTCCAAGCTTGTGGAGACCTCAGTGCTGCACAGGAAGGATATAATAGAGTTGGTGAGGTAAGCGTCGCCATGGTGAACGCAGCCTTCCCAGAAGCACTCACAGAGGCTCTGCCACCAACATCCTGCGCCACAGAGCTCCATCTAAAAGAGCAGGCCACATGCCACGACACGCTTGCTTGTTTCCAACTCGTGACTGATCACACACTATCCCAAGGCTCCACTGTGGGCATAAGACATACAAAGAAAATAGCCATCCCTAGCCCAAGACAGAGCTGCCGGAGCACAAGCTAGAGCTTTTCTTCACTTCTCAGTCTTAGCTTCCTCACCTACGAAGTGTGAGTGTGGTAACAACACCTGCCTTAAAGGCATTGGGAAATGATGCAGAACACGTTGCTTAGCGTTAAATGACACATGAGTGTTACTTCTTACTATGGAAATAAATAGAAAAAAAGAGGATATGCGTATTATCTAACATGGTCCTCACCTAGAGTCTACACTAGCACAGACAAAACTTCTGGACAGAGATCACATTCTTGCCCAAGAATCAAGCACTAATGTTAGCAAAGTGACCTGTGCTCTTGTTGTCCTGCACACCTAGGTGGTCAGGACACCTTAGCTGATGTTGCTGGGTTTATTGAAATTGGATTGTGGTTATTTATTTGGTTATCTTGGGAAGTTGTTGTGTACCTGCTGAAAAATTTCCAAATCCTAGGAAATAGAGATTCAAGATCCAGAAAGCCGTTCAGGTCCTTACTAGATTCAGTGGGGGGAAAAATCTTCTCTAAGGCATGCTGGGATCAAACCACCAAAATACAAGACATGGTGGTGATGCTTTTAGTCTGGCACTCAGGAGGCAAAGGCAGGTGGATCTCTGTGAGTTCAAGGCCAGCCTACTCTACATAGCAAGTTCCAGGACAGCCGGGCTACACAGTGAGATCCTGTCTCAAAAATAGATAGATAGATAGATAGATAGACAGACAGACAGACAGACAGACAGACAGACAGACAGATAGATAGATAGATAGATGGATGGATGAACGGATAGATCAGAAAAAAAGCACAAGACAAAAAAATTCTAAAGAAAAAAATCAAATTTATATATAAAGAAATCCCTATTACTTCTCTCCAGAAATTTCACAAACTAAGAGAGAATGTAATGGCTTGTTTAAAATGTTAAAAGAGAATTCTCACCAACCAGGAATTCTATACCTAAAGATGCTGTCCTTCAGAAATGAAACAAAACGAAGGACTTTGGCTTTCTGGGACAAGCACTGAAGGAATACATTGCCACCAAGCCTGACAACTTTGTTCAATCCCCGGGACCTACACGGTGGGAGGAATTAACTCCTGCGTTGTCCTCTGACCCACATACATAAGCACACTGCGTGCATGTTCACGTGACTGCGTGCATACACACACATGAAATGAATAAGTGCAACAATGTCAAAAATTATAAAAAGAGACCAAGATGGTCATTATGCAAATGATAAGGGAATCAATTTAACAGCAGGCAATAACTGGGGCTGCGGCTCAGCATCTAGAGGACTTGGGTGGCTGGCACGCACCAGGCCTGAGTTCAGACTCCCCACACTGGGGAAACTGGTCATAAGCTTTCCAAAATAAAAACTGAAAGGAGGAAATAGGGCTGGTTTTATAGCTGAGTGATAGAATGCTTACCTAACGTGCACAAAGGCAAAGATTTGACCCCCGAACAAACAAAACATTCATGTGATACAAATGAACATAAATTTCTGGCAGGCATAGTGGCTCATGCTGTGATCACACCACTCTGGAGTTTGATGCAGAAGAGACACCAGGAGTTCAAGGCCAGCCTCAGCTACAAAGTGAGACCCTGTCTCAAAAAAGAAAAAAAGAAAAAAGAAAAAAAAAACTGACTTTTAAAATTTAGCACAAAGTACTACAGTAACAGACGCAGTTTTCTTCAGTGGTATAGCCACCAGTGAGGAATCCATGGTCTTGTAATAATCCCTCACCCAGGACCTTGTAGGCAATACTAACGATACACATTGAAGTCTCAAGCCTGAAAGAGAAGGGAGGGAGGTAAGGACGAGAGGAGAGAGGAGAGGGAGAGGGAGAGGAGGAGAGAGAGGAAGAAGGAGAGGAGAGGGAGAGAAGGAAAAGGAAAAGAGGGAGGGAGAAGGGGGAATGAAAATACAAAAGAAAGACAAGATAGAAGAAGAGGGACTAAAGTGGGAAGAGAAAGGGGTTCTGAGGGAGCCAGAAGGGAATAGGAGAAGGTAATGGAGTGAATATAATAAAAATACATGTAATGTATGAAATTGCCATAAAACTATTATTATTATTATTATTATTATTATTATTATTATTATTATTATTAT